CTGTACACATATACATATATCCACCAAAAACAAACAACTGTCAGCTTACAACAACTACAACACACGCACAAAAATTCAGATTCTTAAATCAAATTAATCATTTTCACCAGAATGTTCACACGCCAAAGTAATCTATTAGAGCAAATTGAAAATATCACCAAACACAGATAATACATAGCAACAATGAATATCACGACGCACAATTGCGAGACATTAATTTGCTAATGTTACTAACGCCAAGAACCCTTTTGAATCTAATCACAACCACTTCACTACAAATATGCCAAAAACAAATGCAGGCAATATTTACTTATAAATATATATGTATGTATATAATATGTACCACAATAGCAAAAAAAGCAAAAAGTCATTGCGTCGCAGTGATAGCACAGATACGTGCGGTCCGAAGTTTAAGTGGCTGGCAAAATAAATAATAAGAAAGATATTAATAGGTGAGCATGTGTGCGTGTATGTGTGTATATATGTAAGGGTATCTACGAATATAGCTGCTGAAATGTGAAAAATCTTTTTCGGGGAAAATGCTAATTTATACTTCCGGTATTTAGTATTGAAATTATAAGTAGCGTAAATGAATTAGCCGCTAATTTTTAGTATTGGTGACTGCAAATCCTAAATCTCTACAAGCTTTCATTATGCTTTTATTTATATAAGTCGCTTGTGTAATCACGCAAATCGCCTATAATTTGAACTTAATTTATAGTCAAGGCTTAGTGTTTGATTGATTTTTATGATTTGTTTATAAAGAGTGTGGCGAAAATGCAGACGGTTGCTCAAGTACCATGAGTGATGTGTGTAGTGAGCGTATATATGTATGTATACACACAAATATATTTATGAACTGCATAGGTGCTCAGATATTTTTTGAATATACTAACTGTAAAGTATTTTTGGGCAGTGTTTGCATTTCGGCAAGCATCTAAATATATCGCTGCGAGACATATTGTACTTGATGGTCAAGTTATCAGCATGGCTGTCATAGAAGTGTTAACTCTTCATAATGCTTACATGTCATTGGTAAACATATGAATTGTTGCATGCACAGGAATTTTAATTAAAATTGTAACATAAATTACTACAAACTTATCTTATCTTATTGAATTAGCCAGACTGTTCGACCGATTGTCTCAAGACTAAACACAATGCGTCGATTTTCCTCTCACATATATTTATAAAAACAAAAAGGCAATAAATAAGTTAACTTACAAAAATATCATCATAAATTTGAAAAAAATAATATTTATAGAAAAAAATTCCGCAAATTGACAAGTATTTGCAAAAATTTTAATTAATTTTAACGGAATTTCAAATCACGTTTACTACACATTTGCCTTACTGGTATGTGGAATTTATTTAATTATTTATTTTTAATAGTGCCACTTGTTGTAAAAGAATTGGTTGGTGAAAGTATTTACTCTTCGGTCTGTAACTAGTAAGTGCAATTAAATAAGTACTCATAGAAAAGATCAATATTTGCCATATTTCAAAGGAGAATCTGTTGTCAAGCGCTTAACAAATATAAATATAGAGTATTGCGTGAAAATATTATATTATATATGTATTGGAAAAATATTGTAGCCTGAATAATATACAATAAATTATTAACATACAGAAAAAAGTCCCTAAACGTGAGAGCCAAAGTATTTGTATACGATTTTTATAAGAAAAAGTGGTCTACTAATGATAAGAAGTTATTTATAACAGAAAAAAATTAAAATAAATACTAAAAAATGTAAAAAAAAATAAATAAAAAATATTAATAATACTCTAAAAAAATTTATAAAAATTAAAAAAAAAAAAATTTTTAAAAAATTATAAAAAATGATGCGAATCTGCCTAAAAAGTATGAAATTAATTGTATCTTAAACAAAATAAAAATCTATTTTTAGACTAACTTTATTACATAATTATAACACTGCTACAAAATATACTCCCACACAAGTATTACACATTGTACACATAGCCATATGCATATACCTACATATACAATAAATGCACATCGCTCAAAAATTCCATTATATAATATATACATACAGCGTTTACTTTATATAATATATCCTTACACTCAACTACTGCATATAAGACCACAATCGGGACCTTGGCATTTATAATTAGTATATTCAATTTTGAAAGTCATTTAATGTCTGCATTATTTATTCACCATTTTACTGATTTGCTAACAAAGCAGATATTAAATACAGTTATGATACAGCCATAAATGCACATGTGTTAGTTAATGTTCTCTGACACACATGAAACCACGATACATTTGCGATATATGCAACTAAATACCATTGATTTGATAAGCAAAGCCTTAAGCGTGTGTATATTATACTTGTAGCCGCATGATTTTTCAGCAATTTGCATGCTTGCGAAAATGTTATAACAAATGTGGAAAAATGCGGCACACGCCCTGCACTAATCTAGATTCTTATTTATCGCTTAGCTACGATTTGATTGCCGTGGGGAAATTTTAAGGGAACTCCGTGGAATTTTTCCCTCGGTATTTATTGAAGGGGTCGTCTGCGAGCGTGGCATAGAGATAATGACGCACTTGTGGCGCAGTTATGCAAAAGCAACGATAATAGCTAATAATAATAAAAATAATAATAATTAGTGAAACACAGTTGATAAGGCGCTTTGCAATGTATATGTGTATGTGTATGGCAAGTTGAATAGTAAGCGAACTTTTGCACACTTTAAGGGGGCGGTTGTTAATGCTTGAACTTCGTATTTAAATACAATTAATATACACATATATATATTTTTTATTAACAATAAACTAGAAATTTTCTTAACTAAACAATTCTCTGTTCCTCATATCGCTTATACACGCACTTCCTAGTCACTTTATTTATGGAAGTTTCAACAAACAACTTTAAAAGCTCTTTTATGATTCTTTACATCATTTATTTGCTGTTAAAATATATTTGCACTACATAAAATTTGCAAATTTGCACAAAATACTGCTTTTGCAGCCAAACGCAGAAATTGCTGCGATTTTATAATCGTTCATTAGCATGAATATTTATATTTATGGCCGAAGCTAGATACATATTTACGACCATGCCCGGTGGTGAAACAACGAACTAGTTAGCGGAAATACCAGTTTGTGCCTAAAATGTAATAAGCTGAAAACGAACTAGTTAGAAAAGCAGTTAAGTCACAACAGTGTTTTAAGCAAACTTAAAACAGAAAGTGATTGACGCAATTATCGGCGTTTCGGTATTTTTTCACGGAAAATTCGAAAAGCAACATCAAAGATGTTTTTAAGGCTATGAAATCAACGCGACAGTAACTGTTTTGAATTATTATGCAAGCGACATAATTTTGTTCGAAATCGCAAAATTAATAGCGCAACACCACTACCTTTCATAGACCATAGAGTGTAGGCCGTGTGTTTATCGTTAATACTGGTTCTAAGGTAGTTAAGAACTAGTTTACCTCACTGCTGGGCTTATATCAATATTTGCCTTTGTTTTACGTGCACTTGCACTTTTCAGTTAAACTCTTTTCTAATGAATTTCCAAGTTTGTTTAATTGCTACTTTTAACCTTTGTGAAATTTTGTATTTTCGTTTATTTGTTTGTTTGCTAATCAAATCAGAAATTTACACTTTTCGCGCAAATACCGCCGACTGCAAGAACATAAATTATAATGTGGCTAATCATATTTAAATTCGTAAATATTTGGGGAATGTCGCGGGCATGCGCCAAATTAAAGTTCAAACAGAAATTTTAGCTTAAATGCGAAAATTAATAAATTGTGCAAAATGTGCTTGGAAAAGCGTGAGCAGTGCAAGTAGCGTAGAAACGTAGAGGAATAATTATTTATATGCTAATAAGAACAAATGAAATCTAAGCAATACAATATTGAGAAATTATTTAAACAAAACGAAACAAGCCAAATTAAAATAATAGAAATAGAGTCAGAAAATATGCGCAGTCAGCGCTCATAACGAATTATGGCTCAAATGTCTGGCGTTTGCGGACCTAATGCGACATGTTGAATTGGCCTGTCATGATTAAGGCGACATTTATTATGTATGTGTAGACATATATATTGTGATAAAGTACTTAGAGCAAATTGATAATTAATTAACTAAAATTAATGAGAATACTATGAATAACATTTTAGGAATTCCGAAACTTTTAGTTTCATATTTTTTTGGAGCAGAAAACTTATGTATCAGCAGAACCCATAACATATAAAATGTAATCTAAAGACTATGGCTAGACATTTGTCGCTGACTAAACAGTTTTTTTTGGCTAAACAGTCACGAGTTAATCGACGTAAACCAATCATTTGACGCGTTTGTTGCCAATCAGCGAATAGAACAAGCCCTTGCCGCGTATTGAGAGTTGCGTACCCATGTAAATTATCTATTTAAAAAAAAAAAGTGAAAAAAAGTGTGAAAATATAAAAAGTATAAAAAAAAATAATGAAAAAAAATTCACAAAAGCTCGCAAGGGCTGCGTGCACTCGGCGCGAACGTGAATAGCACGTGTGACAAACATTAGCAATAACAATAACAAAGCGCGCTTTTTTTTTTTTGCATTTTTTAGCATTAAGTGATAAAAACCTGTGCGCTAGCCATGCCGCAGGTAATCAACGCGCGACGATCAGCGTTATTTGGGGCGTTGCTTTGTAACACAAATGTAGTAAATACATATATACATATATATATAAGTAAAAGGAAAAAACAAAGCGCAGGTGAGAAATTGCAAAACAGCGCAAAAAACACATACTAAAAATGCTTTTGCACACACTTGCACTGATACGCACCACTACACACGCGCGCCAGCACTCCAGACCTATCGAACGCCTGTTGTGCTTATCTGATAAATATTTAGTTTGTCGCTGTGTTGCTTTTATTATGTAGTTATTTATTAATGTGTACTTGCAATTAACGTTTTTTAGTATTTTTTTTGTTTTTTTTTTTTGTATTTCACTTGTTTTGTGTTTTTGTTTTTTATTATTTTTGTTTTTGCTTAGGGGTGTTCCTTGACGTTCGCTCAACGCCTCAGCACCGCAACACCGTGACTGCGCTTGCTGGCAACGCTTGTCGTCGGTAAGCGTGTGCTCGCCTATACTCGTACTATTTGCCAATTAGGTCTTTACTTCAAATCGTTGAATTTAGTGCGATTTCGGCACTCGCGCTCTACGTATCTAACGTCAAACGCGCTGTGATACGCGCCATGAAATAGCATAGCCTCGTTAAGCGGTTGTTATCGATCGACGAGCGGCGGCAGTGAATATTTGTGTGCTCTTACGCGTTTTACTATGTTTTCGTCTGATGGCAAATTTGTTAGACGATCTTTAAGATTTCATATGATAACAGTGTTTTGGTGCAATAAGTTGATTATAATGATCCATAGTTGCCATTGTGATTGATTTGTGATGTTTTTGTGATTGTGACGGACCTTCAAGCTTAAGCGCTTGATTGATAAACCCCATAAATATAATATATAATGATAATGATCATAATTGTGATTTTCCTCTTGATAATGCGCTCGATATCAATGCTATTTTACGCTTGGACTCTTTTGAGTTTGTGGTTATCGATTGTTGAGTGATTTGTGGAGATTTCACTAATTTCATTCATATAAAGAAAAAAGAAGAAGTAAACCAGCCAAAAAAAAAAACGATCAGGTTTAGCTCTGATCATATGCGTGGAATACGGATTTTACCGCGAAGAATGTAAGTAAGCGTTCGAGTGTGTATCTGCAGTTAAAGAGTATTTTTTAAGCAATTTCATTTGAAAATTTGTTTAAGAGTATTCATCTTTGTGAAAAAGTACTTGTAAATTGATTGTCATTGTCCTGCAACGTGGCGCTGCTGCTCAGCACAGTGGGTCTTCGTTCCTTCGTTCCTTTGTTCCTTCATTTTGAGTTTTTGAGTTCATTTTTTTTTTTGTTCATTGCCTCACAGTTATCGTCAAGTGATAAGTGAAAATCGTGTTGTTTTGGTCAAAAACAAGATTACAATTTCTGTTTTTTTTTTAGGAATTGTTGCCAGGTCCCATATTGCCCCAAAGTAGTCATAACAGCAGCCAATAAAATTTAAATTAAGTATTTGTTTATGTAAAATTTTGTTGCTAAGTTCAATTCAGTGGGCAATGCTCGAGATCTATATTAAAAAAAATTTTTACGAGTGTAAGTATATTTTCTGAAGTTCAAATAGTGTTAAGCCAGCTAAGGAGCCGAAAAAATTAGAGTAGTTCTCTTTCCGGATAACTAGTAACAGCTCATTTTAGTGATGATTTAGTTCTAAATGCTTTGAATTGTTGCAAACATATTTTTATACCTCCAAAAGTTTTAATAATTCTGTTAAAACTGAAACTGAGCTGTTTTATGTTCAACCAAATATATTTTAAACGAAGCTCGTTATGGTTTTAAAACAACGCACTATCACCTCCATCTCTAGGGTCGCGATGATCCAACGAAAAAGCACACTTCCAGCTAGATTTCATAAGCTCTCAAACTGTTGCGTAAAACACTTTGCTCACGATTCTTCGCACATACGAGTGTGTGACATAACTCTTACAACATTTCAGCTTCCGCCATCTATGTTTTCGCTCAAGCAACTCGTTGTCATTGTGTACAAATATTTGCATAAAATTACAAAAACGACACAACACGCATTTGAGGCAGTGTCACAGCATGTAAGTTTACTTACGGTAATGAGTTGACTAAATGCAAAACAATATAGCACGTAACTTTATGTTACACAAATACGCACTTTGGTCCAGATAAGTGGGCACTGTCGCAATGAAGAGGCGTGAATTTCCCCAACTGTTTGTGTTTATTAAGATTTCCAAAATAAACTCGCCGCTTTGTATAGACACTTCGGAAAAATGAGCGTAAGAAGGGCGCACGAAGTGAGTGACAGTTGTGGGCGAAGGGTGTTACATGCAAAACCGCATTGACCGAAAAGCGCACAACTTGCAATAACAACAAGCGTAAAGGCGTCGTAATACATTGTTGTAAAATAAGCAACAATAAAACTGCAACAATGGCAAAAAAGTGCACAATGCGTTTGCTAACAACTAGTTAAATGCGCGGCGTGGGTTAGGGGAGTTAAAATATAAAACACAACAACGCTGTTGCACTCGGCCCGCAGTCATTAACAATAGCAACCCTTAAAAAAAAAGATACGTGCATAGAGGTGACTAAAAAGCAAGTTATAGTTGCTGTGCCAGCGCTGAGCGTTAGAAAAGGCATAAAGCGCTAGTTTATTGTGAACACAAGGCGTAAAAATGAAATGTTGCAAAAAAGGCAAATACTTTTTTGTGCGTTTTTTTTAACACATTGCACTTTATTGCACTAGAATGCAAGTATGGGCGTCTGTAAGTGCTTAAGTGCATGCTTGTTAGTGTAAAGATTGCATTGAGTGCACACCTTATGTTAGGGGATGTGCAACAAAACGCGCGGCGCAGTGTTGCTTCGGCGCATGCATATGCTGCCAATGTGACAATGCATACCCCAAGCAGAGTTTGTGGCAAAAAAGTGCATTAATTTTCATTAAACAATACACACCCACTTTATGTGCGCACATAAAACACAAAAAAAAAAAACATTCGAAAAGCAGCAGCGTGGCAAAATATGATAGTGTGCCACTTGGCTGTTGAGCGCCATGAAGGGTGCGAGCGCTGCATACGTGCAGATTTCATTGCAACGTGTGTTTATTGTTGTTGCAGCGAGCGGAAATGAGAATTAAGTGCACACACTTTAGCGACTATAGTGTGAACCGGGTGTTATGCAGCTGAGTAGCGCGCGCTTCTTGATTAAGTGAGTGCAACATGCACCGCATGACATTTCACACTCGCGTTTGTGCGGTTCACGCACACCGTAACAAAATTGCGCACTACTCAATTGTTGCGCGGTATATAACGGCGTAAAGTGAAAGTGCAATCGGGAGTGGTAATGCGGAGAGTTTTTGAATAGCGCAAAATTCGTTGCGTTATGCTCAAGGATATACACGCCACGCTTTTAACTGGCTATGTAACAGTAGCGCATACCCAATTATTATCCGATTACATGATTGATAAACGCGAAATTTATTACTTTTTTTTTTGGAAAACAGCTTACATGCGCTCACAGCATTATCTAATTTTCCGTACAGCGCACCCTTTCCGACACCAGTTCGACGCGCTTTTCCGTCACTTTTCCATGCGTATACATAGTTTTGGAGTGTACTGTAACGAATTTTGTATGCCTTGGTAATGGTTTTTTGTGGCAGCGCATTAATTATGCTGTTTCATTTGTTTTTTAGCCACGTAAGGGTAGCTGCCGCTATTAATACATATTTTTTCTTTTACTCAGCGCGAGCGATCGTTAGCACAAAATAAATTTTGTATTTAATTTTCTTTTTGTTATTTTAAATTTCGCTATTATGCGCGCTGCGTAAGCCTTTGGAAAATGTGGCACAGCGCATAACCCGATATAAGTCGGGACGCACGTGTCATCAATCAATACATTTTGTGTGACGATTATTTATAGACATAAGATTGCTTATATATTGCAATTTGATTAGAGTTGAGTTGGGTATAAACCGCAATGCGATTGTGAGTAGTGCTGGAAAGTGTTGTGTTACAGAGCGTAGAGCTGAAGGGAGGAGAAATGATTAAAACTGTGGTGCTGAGAAGATTAGCAAATTTTATGTTGGGAAAAGGGTGGTAGTTGAAAGAAAAAATTTATAAAAAAAAAAACACAGCCACAGTGTTTTCTTGTCACATACAAATATGCCATATTTACCAAACAATCAAGACACACATTTTAGCACAATTTAACAAACCATATGGCAACGCTAACCCAACGTACGTGCACCTTACACGCATTTTAGGTCGTTCAACTGTTAAATTAGCGCTGAGCGCTTGAAACAAAAGTCAACAACAGTGAAATGTGACAAATTGAAGAGTAAAAGGAGCGTAAAATCGCAACTTCTATGGCAAATATTGACACTTGACGTTGCAAGCGTTGTCATTGTGATATATTTTTTTGCTGCTTTTGCGCTTGCACTTCAATGACAGCGTACGAGTGCGCAAATATATGCAAATGTCACAATTTAAAGTACATAAATGACGCTAACAGGACTTTAAACACCACAAAGGAGTGGATATGTGCTTAAAGAAGCAGTGAAAGAGAGTAGCAAAGGCTGAAAATAAAAAAAAAGTATGCAAAAACAAGCATAAAACGTTTCATATTTATCTCTATGTGCCAGCATTTACCTTCCAACTTCGTACTGCATATTCTTTACCTCTTCGCTAACAAGCAGAGAGACACTCACTTAACTCTAACCTCTAAGCACTCATACATATATACTCAACTGCGTTTGAACAACTCAGAAACAACTTTTTTATTTCCTGTGTGCTTTTGCCATTTTCTTCATTGTTGCTGATTAACTTCCGATTATCGTTTTGCTTTATACCTTCATTTATACTACAGAAGAATCCCTTGCGGCTTCGACGCCCAAGTTGCTATTCCAGAAAACACTGCTATATGCTTTGTACATTACTGCTTTGATACTAACACACAGACAGCTGCGTGTTCTTATTTGCGAACCCTCAAATGTCCATTCGAGTATTTGTTTGTGGCTTTGCGTAGAATTCTTCACATGCTTGGCATGAAAAGCCGCAGGCGCGTCTGAGATGCGCTGGCGAAGAAAAAAATCGCAAACGAGCTTCACGTGACACACGCATACTAACAAACTATGCAAACACATATGCATGCATATGTCTGTGCCTGCTTTATTTCTTCGCCTTGTAGCTTTGCTTATATTTATTCAATACAGAATTCTTTTATTCCACACATGTATTGTTATATTGCATACCAACACACTTCTTCGGCTTGGCTGCTTTGCTTGCAGTCAACAGTTTATTCCTCAATTCGTTTGTTCCACAATATTATTATGTGCTTTTGTCGAGCTTTCGTATCCTTTTTTCGCTGCCTTATTCGCTCACTGCTTCTTTACAATGCCCGCTGCCTTTTCTTGTATTTTTTTATTTTTATTTTTTTGATTTTCATTGTTTCTGTACTGTGCTCGCTTGAAATCATAATCGGATGATGTAAAACTGTTTATATATTTCAAATTGGATTCCTGCTTTCTAAGCGCTGTGTTGAGCAGTTGAGCAGCTTTTACGCTTTAACTTTAATGGGCCTTTAAAATTATTGTTGCTGAACTTTGTGAAAGTGTTAGTTTTTTCACAAAATTTAAGTATTTATTTTATTATTTTATTTCTAATAATTTTCAAATATTTTATTAACAATAATCACTGTTTGCTGTCATTCCCCCTCTCACAATCCATAAATATGCTTAAGTTATAAATTTCAAAGTTAACTATTGCTCCTTAGTGTCGCGTCTACACCTGGGTGGCGGCTTCATAGACAGCACGTACGGAATTCTTTAACAAACTTGACGTCACTAAGTGACACGCTGACGGAATACTTGAAGAGCTGTTGTAGTCATAGCAAATACTAGCTATAATATACAATAAAGAATGGAAAAATGTGAGAAACAAAGCAAACGGGGCAAACAAAAAGTCAAATATACATACCTATTAACAAACTATAGGCGGGTGAAGAACAAGCAGAGGCGGAAAAGCAGTAGTCGCACAAAACGAATGTCAACAAATAAAACTAGAAGCTTTGACAACAAAACACATGTATATTAGAATAAGAACAACTGTAAAACGTGAGCTA